TATGCCTTTTTTTTCACGGAAAAATCGAGGTGGCAAAGTGCCCAGTCGAACGCGTTACCGGCGGTCCATCCGGAAGGCGTTACCCGGTACACGTGCATGCGCCCACAACGCGCACGCGTAACTCGCTACTCGCTACTCGTTACTCGCTACTCGCTACCCAGTCAGACGCAGGAGGCTAGTAGCGGCTCCTTAGCAACTCTGAGGTGCTACTGCCACCACTATTTAACGGTAGTTATGACGTCTATAATGCTTGTACTTACTTGCTTTCTATGCAATGATAAGACATTTCCTTCCAGTACTTCCTGCTTCGAGTGAGCCTCAAAGCATGGAAGTCCATCAGTCGCACCGGTCCTATGAACTAGCAGTGGTAGGCTTGCAGATAGTCGTGGTTTGGGTAAGTAGACTTCTTAATTTCGGTTAGGAGTCGTGGTTCGGCTATGCACATCGCAAGGAATTTGATATCTGCGGAGGTATAGTAAAGTCCAGGACACCGTACCCATACCGTGCGTCTTGTTCCCTCGGTGCGTCTCCCTCTTTATGTGTGATATCTGCTTGGAATTGACGATCTCTCTAGTTTTATCATCGAGTATGGATCTGTCTAGACTTAGCCATCAGGAGGCTGCCCAATTGCAAGGCCTGCTCGGCCGTATGCTCGGTGAAGCGCCTTCGCAAGCTGCTCAAGGGCCCATGGTGGTCTCGGGTGTACCTCAGGCTCAGCCTATTCCGCCTGTCCCAGGTGGCGGTCCTCGAGTGTTAGCAGACATGGGACAAGAAGCACTTGCAGGGCGAAATCTAGGTATGCTCGAGTCCAGCCCTCCACTGTTCCACATCTGAGCATTCTGATGTCCCTTTGATCCAGGATCTGCCCCCGCTATCACACCGTATCGCACCCTCCAGCACCCCATCCCTTCCCCATCCCTTCCCACTACCTTTGGCTCGGGGAATACTTCTCAGTCTATCCACTCCGCCCTTGGTGGACCCAATACAGCAACACCACTCGGTCCTATGGCTCCCACAGCTGGCTCTGGTATCCCCCGTGTCATGCCCTCCATCTCGCAGCCTTTCCTCGGTCTCCAGAACCTCGGGCGTGATATCAGCTCGCAAGTCAACCGTGAGCGGCTCTCTTCAGCTTCAGCAACAATCCCCCGGCAACCTGCTTTACAACCACGTCGCCAGCGTCGAGGGCGCGGCCCTGCGGTCCCACCGCCTTCTCTCCAGCCTGTCACACCTCGCAACATGACTGGCTGTCTTATGACGCCGTACGGAGACAATGCTATCCCCAACAGCTTTATCCGTATTACAGTAGAAGTTCGTCCTCCTTTAGAGGTGAGTATTATCTGGACTATAGGTTCTTTCGTAATGCTAATTTGTACTCCATCCATCAGGACCCGAGCGACGACATAATCCTGTTCCGCTTTCGCCACACTTCTTTTATATCGCGTCTTGAAGACTATGGGCTCATTCGGCGCTATGAGGTCCCCGTTGATCTCACTGTCGTCAATCTCATCCAGCAGGTCTCTAGCGACTTGCAGCACTCAGGGTTCCAGTATCAATTCGTCCGTCCGGTCATGTCGTCCACTTTCGAACACGAAAACCTTGACCTGCAGCTACTCTCCTATGTGAACCGTGGACAGCCTCGCCATAGCGACCGTCAAATCCGCCTGCAGCATGCACCGCTGATGCCTCAAGTGACCATAGCAAACCTCATGAGTGACCGACTGAACTATGCTAATACAGGGCTGTCCCTGGACCATGACAGGTTTGTTATCCGTCTAGGTGAGCATATCCTCTCCTGCTCAATGTCCCGTGTACTGATTAGAGCTTGTTGCCAGTTGTGGCCAACTATCCCATCTCTGGCATATTTTCGGGTCGTTCTCAAGGTCCTGTGGTCCTCCGCCGTCATCAGTGTCTTTCACGTCGGATCTATGCCGAGTTTCGTCGTGATGGGCTGACAGTTGAGGCAAATGAGGAGGAAGGTGAGGAAACAGCCTCATCTGGAGGTGAGAGCGATGGGGAGCGTGCCATGCATGCTGTTCGTGCCGAAGACCCTGCTGGACTTGGAGCGGACGTGAATGATGAAAATATCCAACCATCAGAGGTGAGTGAATGGACGCAGCTTCTTTGCTGAATGCTCACTGGAAGCTTACGTGACAGATGCTTGTGCCCACACAGCGGACTACCAGGGCGACATCTGCCACCCGAGATGTTCGTGTGCTGCTGCCATCAGTCGATGCTAATGATCAGATCGCCATGCGCATGTCTGCATACTTCCCGAAGGCTCTCTGGTATCGCCCATGGGAGCCTGCCACGGGTGTTTTCCAGACGCCACTTTTCGACATGACTGACCTACCTCATGGCGTCTTCCAGGCAGCATCGGACGGTGAGATTGTAGGGAAGTTCGAGCTCCATGGAAGTGATGTCGCCCGCCTGACCATGCTCTTCATGGATACCGTGCGGGTTGCACTTGACCGCAAAGACTTTACAGAGCTGCTTGCTCCTCAGAGGGCTTTCTACATGTAAGTCCTCTGGGGGATGTTCTTGAGATAGGATTAATCTCATTGTGATTTCTCATAGACTTGAAGGTGACGGTACAACCCGTTCCCTCGGTGATGGCGTCGAGCGAGAGATCATATCGACTGCTTTTGAGCGCTACAAGGTCTCTTCGGCAAAGTGGTTCAGCCCCAGGATGGATGGCTTCTATTCTCTGGCAACTTCCCAGACATTACTGAGCTGCAACACGATTCCCTCTATACGGCTAAGGCAGCAGGAGGAACTTGGGGCTCTCTGCGCCTTGACATTTGTTTATGGCATGGCCCCTGAGCCTCTCGATCCTTGTCTCTTCCAGTACCTCCTTAATGACCGTGACCTTGAGGCTCTTCAAGAAACTTATGTGGAACAGTGGCATCCTGCACTACATCAGCTGCTCAAGGAATGGCAGGCAATTGGCCCTGGACGGGATATATCGCAGTTCGAGACTCATTTTGCGCTGTATCATGACGTTCAGGTGAGTCTTCTCTCTTTATCATCAGTGAAGTTAAAGCCTTATGTTCCCGTAGACCGCTGCTATGGGTGAGCGTGACGATGCTGCTCATGATGCCATAGCAGTAGACATACTTTATCGTGCAATTATGGGACCCGAGCCGCCATTCCACCCTGAATTTGAAGCTTTCTGTGCTGGGTTCTACCTCCCATGTCGGAATGGCTTTACCCTTCGCAAGGTCTGCCCGCATCTCATTTTGCTCATGTCCTCAGTACTGATACACTTCAATATAAGTTTGCTAATGCATTTGAAGGAGGGTCCGAGGCGTTTATAGATATTGTCTATTCATCTCGTATTGCTTCCTCCAGTACCCTGCAAGATAGGCTGACCATCTTGCCGCCATTCCATGGCTTCACGGATGAGCTAAGCGCGCTATGCGGATACGAGATAAGCGACATTCTCACTCACTTCCTGAGTGGTATAGGGGTTCCTTGTCCTGAAAGGTTTGAGGTGGCGAAAGCTCATTTCAATCCTATTGTGGATCTTCGGAACCTTGCATCACCGACCTTCCGCCCTCGAGCCTTCTGTTGGGCGGCTACAGGTTCACCTACATTGGATACGAATGGGTCAAAGATTAAGGTGAGATCAATTTCTGGTGCTGCTGAGGACTGCTTCACTTACTTACCTCCATAAATAGATATCTGTTGTCACCGATGATGATGTTAATTACGCGCAAGGTAATCAAGACTGGATGGCGCGCGAGGGAAAGATATCGTTCCGTACGTGTTTTCGTCAAGTGCGGATGCCCGCAAGCTACATTATCCAGCTTGCGACTGCTGTCTATGATGGCACGACCGAACCTCGTGACTTCATGTCGGCCATAGAGGATTGGCTTTTGACGGAGACTTTGAATGCAATTGGGGGCCACAGCTTCATGTAGACTTCCTCTTCTCGACCAGTTTCAACTTTTGATGTTAGAATTATACTACAAATGGCATTAATGACATTTATTGTCCATAATATATGACCTCATCTATTGTTCCT